AATGCCTGGAATCGATCTTCTAGTTAACGCTCAATGTCTAGTCGTGTCCCATCTTCTGTGTGACTGTCTCTTGTCTGCAATATGTGCTCGACATGGGTATTACGTATCTTAAAAAGTGACATTATGTCGATTTTTTTCACATTGTATTGTTTTTTTGTGACATTATGTAGCGTTTTCTACAAGATGTTAACTTAGCACTAACTGATACACACCGTGTGAACTCGTTTTGTAGTTGTATGTGTTGCCTAAGCGTCATCAGGCTTCAATTAACAATGTTTGGCTCTTATGTGATGTAAAATCTGCTTCAGAGATGGCATTACTGGAGGTCTAAGTTGTAAGTAGTACATTATAGCTAGAAGGAAACGGCAATGCATAGGTGCAGAGTGAGGATTTGTCTGCTAATAATACAGGGTGCCCCAGAAGTCGACGTTAAGCCGAAACCGGGTGAAAAATTTTATGTATGTGTTTTGAAAATTATAGGTCTTTGAAAAAAATATAGAAATTTCACACCCTACGGCAGTCTGTCAACTCCTGTTACTACAAATATTAACTTTTTTTGGATTTTATTTTTACAATGTAATGATGAATAATGCATCTTCAAACTGGTGTCTCAACCTTACTGCCAACTTTTCTCGTTCAGGAAAAATTGTCACTTATTTCCCAACCAAGTATTCCAAAGTAAAACTTTGCTCAACTTTAACTGGCTGTACTGGAAAAAAATGTACTACGAGAGTTTGGCAAATAACCTTAAAAGTTGGCGCATTTAACAACGATTCCAAAATGGTATAACACTTAGAAGATTACTCGTTAACTTATGCACAATTTTTATTTGAAAAAAAAACTGATGATAATTTGTAAAAATTTCCTAATTAAACAGCGATTATGAAAACGCACAAGTACCCTTAAGGATAACTGTTTGCACAACAGTGGGCGTCAAAATGCTGCTGATGATCATTTACCTTTACAGCAAATGCTCAAACTGTTTTCCTTCAGCCGCAATACACGCTCGACATCTTCTTAAAAAAGATCGGGTTATTAAACGAGCGAATCAACGGTTATTAACAAACTCAGCTGCTTCCAATAGTCTTTGTCGTAGCTCAGCTACATTTTAAATCGGCTTGAAATACACTTTTTCTTTTACAGTTCCCCAGTAAAAAAATCTAAAGGATTCAAATCAGGTGATCGGGCTGGCCACGGTTTTGTACCAGACCGCCTTATCCATCTGCCTGGAAAGTTTTGATCGAGATACTTTCTCACTGAGAGTGCATAGTGCGCTGGGCAGCCATCATGCTGAAACCACATGTCCCTGTAAATACTCAGTGGCACGTCCTCCAATAAATTTGCTAAATGATTTTGCAAAAAACCTAAATAAACTTCAGCAGTTAAGTCTCTGGGAACGCAAACGGACCGATTATTTTACCATTTAAAATTCCTGTCCAATGGTTTATCTTGAAGCGATATTGAGATTTATCTTTTCTCATCAAATGTGGGTTTGCTACGTGCCACTCGTGTAAGTTATGCAGGTTCATGTACCCATCTTTCTTAAATGTGGTCTCATCTGACCATACAATTTTTTCAAAGAACCGTGGATCTTCGAAGTGTCTTTCTAACATTGTGCGACAAAAAGCAACTCGGGGCTCATAATCCGAGGGCAGAAGAGCTTGAACACGCTGTACGTGGTATGGATGGAGCACGTTTTTTTGCAAGATTCTATGGGCTGTACTTTTGGGTACACCTGTTTTTAGTTCTATTGCGCGCACTGAAGTACTCGGGTCTTCTTCGACAGCTCCACGTCGTCGTAAGAAATGAAAGATCTTCCCTCACCGTGTGATTGGTTTGGTAGTTGGCCCTCTGAGAACAGTAAGCGGTGCACATTTGTGAACACTCGATGATCTGGATGACGAGCTGCATTCGGGTACCTATCACAGTAAAGTCTCGCTGCAGCATTAGCGTTGCATCTACGTTCCCCATAAAAGAGGTGCATGTTAGCATATTCTTGTACGGTGTACACGGACATAGCGGCACTGCACAATCACACTATCAAAGATAGTCTAAGGAAAGCAAATGTTGTTTTGAAGAGCAATTAAACAGTCCAAATCCAAATCACAAGCGATCAACAGTCCAGTTCACGAATCCAAAATTAGTAACAGTACGAAATCAACAAGCACGAACATGTAAAGATGCTCAGTAAACGAAGGAGTACTGATCGGTATCAAAGTGTGCAATAGCAAGTAAGTGATGTACTTCATCCATACCACATACAGCGTGTTCAACCTCTCCTGCCCCGGGATTATGTGCCCCGAGTTGCTTTTCGTCGCACAATGTTAGAAAGACACAGGAAAGATCCACAGTTCTTTGAAAAAATTTTATGGTCGGATGAGACCACATTTAAGAAAGATGGGTACATGAACCTGCATAACTTACACGAGTGGCACGTAGCAAACCCACATTTGATGAGAGAAGATAAATCTCAATATCGCTTCAAGATAAACCATTGGACAGGAATTTTAAATGGTAAAATAATCGGTCCGTTTGAGTTCCCAGAGACCTTGACTGCTGAAGTTTATTTGGATTTTTTGGAAAATCATGTACAAAATTTATTGGTGGGCGTGCCGCTGAGTATTTACAGGGACATGTGGTTTCAGCATGATGGCTGCCCAGCGCACTATGCACTCTCAGTGAGAGAGTATCTCGATCAAAACTTTCCAGGCAGATGGATAAGGCGGTCTGGTACAATACCGTGGCCAGCCCGATCACCTGATTTGAATCCATTCGACTTTTTTTACTGGGGAACTGTAAAAGAAAAAGTGTATTTCAAGCCGATTCAAAATGTAGCTGAGCTACGGCAAAGACTATTGGAAGCAGCTGAGTTTGTTAATAACCGTTGATTCGCTCGTTTAATAACCCGATCTTTTTTAAGAAGATGTCGAGCGTGTATTGCGGCTGAAGGAAAACAGTTTGAGCATTTGCTGTAAAGGTAAATGATCATCAGCAGCATTTTGACGCCCACTGTTGTGCAAACAGTTATCCTTAAGGGTCCTTGTGCGTTTTTATAATCGCTGTTTAATTAGGAAATTTTTACAAATTTTCATCAGTTTTTTTTTCAAATAAAAATTGTGCATAAGTTAACGAGTAATCTTCTAAGTGTTACACCATTTTGGAATCGTTATTAAATGCGCCAACTTTTAAGGTTATTTGCCAAACTCTCGTAGTACATTTTTTTCCAGTACAGCCAGTTGAGCAAAGTTTTACTTTGGAATACTTGGTTGGGAAATAAGTGGCAATTTTTCCTGAACGAGAAAAGTTAGCAGTAAGGTTGTGACACCAGTTTGAAGATGCATTATTCATCATTACATTGTAAAAATAAAATCCAAAAAAAAGTTAATATTTGTAGTAACAGGAGTTGACAGACTGCTGTAGGGTGTGAAATTTCTATATCTTTTTCAAAGACCTATAATTTTCAAAACACATACATAAAAATTTTTTAAATATTTTTCTGATAGCTGTTATGACTTTGCCTATCACCTGGTTTCGGCTTGACGTCAACTTCTGGGACACCCTGTATATGTTGATAATAATTCCATTGGATTCTTGTATCAAATACCCTTACTGGAGATTCAAAGCTAGAAATTAGTTGCGCATCCACTTTTTCTTATTTATTCTGGAAATTGAATATGCAAATGTGCTGAATTTCAAAAATTAGAGAGATAAGGAGTATTTAAATATTCACTGTACACTGTCGAGTTACAAGTTATATACATGCTAACAGTAATTACACACAACGCGGGCGCGGTTGTCATTTTCCGTAGATCTCCTAAAAGCTTTTGAAAACGCAAAAAAACGTAAACGTCCTCAGAAAGGACAACATATAAATCACTCGTCGGGCAAAGCTAATAGATATACTTCATTGGCAGCATATTCAGTAATGATTTTCTCACACATTTTAGAATTAAAAGCATGCAAACCGCATGGAGTTTCAGATGTTACATTACTAGCGTAGATCTGAAAATTTGTATCAGCTTGAGGTCATTTACATATTTCACATAGCTTTGTCAGGTTGCCAACTACGTTTTTTCCTTATAGGAATGCGATCCTAGTGCTGTTGTACTATTTGAAGAACCGTGATTCTTCATATTACTACGAGTAGTAAGAAATATATAACTGCTCGTTTGATACTTAAATGGAATCATATTCGCTGTAACGGTGACGTTGAACTATCAAACTTCCATAATAAAGTTAAAGATAATTTGAAAATAAATGTGAAGTACCGTTAAACGAAGATAGCATTTAAGACCTCCTTTACTGTTCGACCGTTATAACTCGTTGTAATGGCTCATAACTCATTATTATACTCGCGGTTTATGACGTTCGCTAGGGTGTGGAAAAGGAAGTTGTTCAAACGTGGTGGTGGATTATTGCATCTTTTTGTCTATCATGGTGATTAAAACTATCATTGAGAGTAGCTCTTGCATTCTATTAAAAGAGGTGGCGCTCAGGAGCTTAAGAGGTGCCTAATCATATAACTGTGCTCATATGCATACATGATAACACGATAAATTGTCATTAAACGGAAAATTATATTAAACGGGGCTAACTAGCACTATTATGAATATGTGACCAGGCAAACGATTATGGTTTGTTTATCCGAATGTTTGTATATAAAGGTTCATTCTTCAATGGAAAAGGGAATCGTTATCAGTGTATAATACAACCAAACTTTTAGAAGCTGTAACATTTTTCTCAGCTGACGGGCTGAAGTTGCTTACCACCAAAACAGAACCAAAGACACTGCTGAGCTCGCTGACTGCGTGACAATAGCCAAGCTTACACCATGGCTAGCTAACCTCAAAACGCTGTTACATACGATAATACCACACTGTGCCAACAGATGGCGCGGCAAACGATAATGTAGCGCGCAAGTCATGGTTTAAACATGGCCAGTACGCGGCGTGATGCAGTCAGTATGAACACTATAATACCTAATTTGTTGCTCCAGGCGTCTATACATCTGTAACTCTTTTGGTAAAAATATAACAACTTCTTTGCTTACATGTTATATGGAGTGTGACTCGTTTACTGACTGCAGGTGGAACATCGTTACTGGCTATGCACAGGTAGGCGCCCATTTGACGTCGCTCCACTCTAACCAAGTGGATACTATCGCCTTTCCACGTTTCCACTGAAACAGAAAAGTATATGAATGGGTGCACATAGTCATCGCAATTGAACAAAAATGTTCAATTCATTTGTATAACACTTCGAAGAACATAGAGGCAACATACAAAGATTTGAGAAATTATGCCCTTGCATCGCTTAGAAGAGAGAAAAAAGAATATATGTCACGTTTCCGGAATCGTAACTCTAGTCAAGCTTGGAAACACCTGAGGAGGATGAATGTGGTAGCCCAGAAACATGTTGCGATACCTCCCAGTCTCCTTGAGCCTAACATTTTAAATAATTATTTTCTTTCAATTTTCCAGACAGCTGCAGCTGATACAAATTTGATTGATAGTGTCACTAACTCTTATAGCGATAGACGCCATACACCGGATGCACCTCTGTTTGCTTTTAAACTCCTTACTCAGCAAGTCATCGTCAATATAATCTCTCACATTAAGTCTACGGCATGTGGCTCTGATGGTCTAACTTTAAATAGGTATGGTTTGCTTATGTTTGCCTGATACCATAGACCATATAACTCACATTATTAATGTCTGCCTCTAAACAGGTTACTTTTCTGCCAGTTGGAAAAATGGTATTATTATTCCAATAGCTAAAACTAATCATCCAGAACTATATTCGGATCTCAGGCCAATTACCTTATTATGCTTTCTATCAAAAATACTCGAAAGAGCGGTCTACTCACAACTAGTGGAGTTTTTCGAACAAAACCACTTATTTCCTCTAGATCAGTCAGGTTTCGGAGCTGGTTACAGCACCACTACTTCGTCTTTATTACATCTTACTGATTCCATCATTCACAATTTAGATAATCACATCAACACCGTCTTGGTACTGTTAGATTTCTCGAAAGCCTTTGACATGGTCAATCACCAGATACTACTGAGTAAGTTATCTCATTATGGAATGTCAGATATAGTTCTAAGGTTTTTTGAGTCATACTTGCTAAATCGTCAACAGACAGTGAAAACTGATCAGGGAATTTCCTCCTCTGAGCCAGTTCCTTCAGGAGTTCCTCAGGGCTCAGTATTAGGTCCCTTACTATATCTGATTTATACGATCGATCTGCAAGACTGTTTAGTCCACTGTAGTATGCAAACTTATGCAGATGATCCTCAGTTAGTGTTTGGTTTCGATCCATCAAAGGTTGATGAAGTTTCTTTCTTTAAAATATCACTTTTTATCCCAATATGTTGCCCGTTTAGCTTTGTTGCTAAGGGAAAGAAACAATTTTTGCTGTCTGTGTTGTGACAACCTTGAAATAATGAAAATTAAGTTATTGCTTACAAAATGGTTTACACACACTATCCGAAAGAGTGGAAATGAATCTAATTTATGGTGCCTAAAATCAATGTGCTCAGACATCCGGAGAAGATAACTTCGCATAGGGACCTTGTTACTAAAATTACTCAAGCTGGATCTGTTGCAAATAAAAGACGTGATCATCGGAGAGTTTTGGATGAAGCCGCTCAAGTTGAAGTTTTGGGTCATTTTGGAATAAATCCTAATACCTCATTACGCAAAAGTGTTGCAGCGACTGGTATTTCATTAGGCTCTAAACACACAGTTACTAAACTCCATAAATTTCGTCCATTCAAAATGAAAATGTTGCAAGAGTTAATGCTTTTGTAGAAGGTCATACGCAGTACACTCAAGGAATTAATGTCTGGGTAGACATTTTAGGAAACAAGGTGATTGGTCCATTGTTCATTAATGGAAATTTGAATTGAGATATTTATTTGGATATGTTGAAAAATACCATCAATCCATTGAAAACCAAATCGAAGAGGATAGAAACCCTATATTTGATGAGGCTGACGTATATTTCCAGAAAGTCAGCGCTCCTCCTCACTATGTTCTTCCGGTTCGGCAATGGCTATACGACGAGTTTCCAGATAAATGGATAGGGCGAAGAGGCCTGCTAGATCTCATGATTTGCCGCCATCAAACTTTTTTCCATTGCGCCATTTGATATCTATTGTGTTTACTCCCCAACCTGAAATTTTGGATGAACTTTGCAACATTGTTTAGCCAATAATGGGCAACATTGTGAACACTTATTGAAATAAAAAGTGATATTTCTGTTTTCTATCTAAACAAATTGAGATAAATATATATTTTTCTAATTTTCTTGAAAATGAATCGACCGATTTTGCAAAAGCAAACGTCAAAATAAAGATCTTTGAAATAAACAACAAATAAATAAGCTGTTACTGGCTACCTCTTGTCGTTAAAAGTGTTTAAGGAAATGGCCCTGGGGGCAAAGGATGGAAGGGGATGGAATAGTTTTTAATAATAATAATAATAGCGTTTATTGTCCAACAGTTACCCCATTTATAGGACAATTTCATAAGCACAATTAAATAATATTCAGTGGTGTTAAAAAAAGTTATTTCAAATACAAATAAGTCATTCTAACTACTGAGTTAAGCGAACAAGTAAATATATCACGGTGACAGCTAATACAATTTAGATGTTTACACATAACATATGTAGGAGATTTGACTAACACATTGGTCCTAGCCCTTGATAGCTGATAGCTTAAAAATTACATAGTTCCGTGAAGAGAACGAAGGAACATTGAAATTAATCTGTGCCAAAATGACTGGGGAGTCAATAATGCTATTTAGCAGTTTAAAAAGGAATATGGCAGATGAAACTTTCCTTCTGCATTCTAAACTATGAATTTCAAAACGCTCACATAGTTCCATACTGCTAATGCCTTGCTCAGGGTAAACTCCTTCAGATTTGAAGTATAGAAACTTTAGAATTTTTTTTTGGACCCTCTCAATATCATTTATATAAGTCTGGTAATACGGATTCCATACAACACTCGCATATTCTTGTACGTACATATGTAAAATATAAGACTTTTAAGGCCCTTAAGTTATCAAATCGCTTACAGTTCCTGACAATGAAACCGTAAGACTTAAAGGCTTCCGAAACTTTCCGCGAAATATGAGTAGTAAATGTTAATTTATGGTCATATATAATACCCAAACCTTTGACTATATCGCTTCTTTCCAGCACCACACCATCGATATTATAGTTGAATACACGAACATTTTTATTTCTGCTATAGCTTACTACTCTGCACTTACTTATATTTAGATGTAATTTATTGAGATCGCACCAAATCCTAACACTACTTAACTGCATCTGTAAATCTAAGCAATCCTGCACGTCACTGATTGATGAATATATCTTCATATCATCTGCAAAGCATAACTGTTGACCATTCATACTTTCACAAAGATCATTTATGAATAATAAAAATAACAATGGTCCCAAGTTGGACCCCTCTGGAACACCAGATGGGGCTAAGTAGGTTTCAGATTTGAAGCCATTATATTCAACAAATTGTTTTCGCTCTGACAAATACGACCTGAAGAATTTTATAGCGCTAAGTGAGAGACCAAAGTGACCAAGTTTCATCAACAAAACTCCATGATCAATTTTGTCAAATGCCTTTGAAAAATCCGTATAGATCACATTAACTTGGCAGTTATCATCTAGAGCTTCAGAAATATATTGGGTTAAAATAACCAAATTGGTGACTGTAGATCGGTTGCTGACAAAACCGTGCTGTTTTTGTGATATTTGATTTTTTATTGAAGGATACAAGCGATTGTACAAGATTACTTCAAAGACTTTCGCAAAAATGCATATAAGAGAAATTGGACGATAATTCTCGACATCTGATTTTTCTCTATTTTTGAAGACCGGACAAACTTTGGACACCTTCCATATATTCGGGAATACATTGAATTTTAAGCACATGTTGAATAAGAGAGTAAGTACAGGAGAAAAAGCTCTAGCACAGTCCTTTACAAGGAACGAAGGAATACCATCAGGACCCGAAGTCATCTTATCCTTTAGCTGACTAATTGCTAAAATAACTTCGCTATCCTGGACAGGAGCTAAAATTAGATGGATGTTATGGTTAACGTGCTCAACGATATCAACGTTTAAGTCTGATTGGTGGTAAACACTGCTGAAAAAGTTAGCAAATACATTGACAATCGACTGAGGCTGACAGTACGTATTATTTTGATACTTCATTTCGCCAGGAATTCGTGATGTACTATTTTTCATGTTCGTGAACGACCAAAATTTCTTTGAATTGTTAACTAAACTATTCTGAACATTCTCCATATAGATATTATACGCCCTCTTTATTTGAAACTTGATTGAACGGCGCAGTCTGTGAAATTCTTCAAGATCTGACTGATGTCCAAGCTTAGCAAACCTTTTCCTGTATTTAGCTTTTTGTTTAATACCATTAATAATATTGGAATTATACCAAGGTGGATACTTGTGACAATAATTTTTGTATACAGGTATATGAGTATCAAAAGTGCTGTACAATTTTTCATAAAAACGATCTACTGCGATATCTATATCATCAGAATTCACAGTCGAAGTCCAATTTATTGATAGGAGTGAAGGAAAATCGGCTTTTCTAAAATTGTATACCTTTTGGTTACAGCTTGGCCCCCTTTACAAATATTTTAACGTGTCTCCGCGTTTTTTCTTTTATTCAGTGGTTTTTGATGAATCCGTGATAGGAGGCTTTCAAATGAACGTAGGGGATATGTTACCGAATTCGGTTCTTCAAAGGTTAAAACCTCTCATTCTCAATGACTCGTGTGCCCTAAAGATACTGCTATCAAGCGTTACATTATTTATTATTATTTCTATGTATTATCAGACGAGCGGTGAAGCAACATGTACATTTTGGGGTAGCAACTCCTATACAGGTACCGAAAAGACAGACAGCAGCAAAACACCTCGCACGCCTATGCTAACGCGCATCTCTTTGAATTGACTAAGTGGGCGCGCGAGTATCCGTATTCAAATAGATGCCGTGGTGGCATTTACGTGCTACGTGTTTTGGTGCTTTCTTCCTTTTCAATACCCAGGTATGACTTTTAAAACTGCAGCAAAGTGTTAACAATCTCCATTCAATACTAGCCGCAAAATAAAACCACTAATGTA